ATAACTATTACTATTATAATTGCAATATTAGTATCTATTAACTCAATTTTTATGGGGACATATTTGTACATATTTATGGAACACATGCGATATTTTGTTACATGTATAGAATGTTTAATGATCAAGTCAAGGTGTTTGGGGTGCCCATCACCTTGAGTATTTATCATTTCTATGTGTTAGAAACATTTCAAATCCTGTCTTTTAGCTATTTTACAATATACAATACTTGGTTATTGTCTCTAGTGCCCTGCTCTGCTATTGAACCCTTTTTGTGTCCGCTGGACTGGCTTCCCGGCCTCCCTCTTTCATCTGTTGCCTCTGGTCTCCCGGTCTGACTAAAGTCAACCTGCCCAGCCAGAGCGGTTCCTCCCAGCACTTATGGAGGCGCTGCTTTTTTCTTCATGGGTTTCACGTGCAAGTTTACTAATTGCTTTACGCAATCTCTATCAGTTGCCAGAATGTTTGAAGTTTCTTTCTGACTCTGAGTGTATCTAACAATTGGTCAAGATTAAAGTCCAACCTTGGGCTAATGTCAGTAAGTAAGAAAAAGCTTTGGCCAATTCATCAGTTAGGATCATACTTTAGTTCTGGTGGGTACAATAAATATTTATTATCTTCTTAATCTCTGTGTCTTATGATGAATTACTGTTTATTATCTTCTCATATTCTAATTGTTTATCGACTTCTACCTGTCCCACCCATGATGTGAGTTTCTTCAGAGCATAGACTGACCTATTTATACTCACAGTTCCGTCCTTGGTACCTCAAATTGTACTTGGCAAATAGCAGGCAACCAACTAGTGTTTGCTGAATACTCAATGAATGAATGAATAAAGTAAGGACTGGGAAGTGGGCTGGAATTAAGAGATCTCAGTTCTAGTTTGGCTTATGCCACTGCTCAGCTATGGCTATTCTCTGAATTTTAGTTTCTTCATCAGTAAAGTGAGGAAAATCATAGTACCTACCTTATATGTTTTGGGGGAGAAATAAATAAGGTAATGCATGTGAAGTTCTTAGCCTAGTAGCTGACACATTTTCGGAACTTAGTAAATGTTGATTATCATGTCTATAATTTTCAGGGAAAATCTTCAAATGTTGAAGCTTATTAGAGGTAATTGAACTAATTTAATATGACTAGTGGTGATGACTGTACTAAAGACAAATTAGTTTAATTAACCTGTCCCCAAGATTTTACTTTAAGAGTCAAGTTGACAAAAAAAAATCTATTTAAAGTACTATATTAGACTTTCGGGAGTGGGTGGGATGCAAGGATGGGGAGGAACAGCCTCTTTCCTTTAGGAACATAAAAAATAGAAGAGTTACCCTATTGGTGCACTATACTCTGCTGAGGATACAAAAGCACGAGACATTATTACTTCCCACGTCATTCAATTTACTCTCCATACCCTGCAGAAAATTATTCAACTTCTGCTTTGAACTCCTACAATGACAGAAACCTACTGCCTCATGAAATTGCTCACTCTAATTGGGAACAGTAATCACAATTAGAACAATCTTCAATCTTCCTTGAACTTAGCACACATATCCCTCTCCATGATTTGTACACATTGTGACAACTTCTGCCTTCTGAACAGCCACAGAATGAATTTATATTTTCCTTTTATATCAGAGGTCAGCAAAGTAGGGTCTGCTGTAGGGCAGGCCAAATCTAGCCTACCATTTCTGTTTATAAATAAAGTTTTATTGGAACACAGTGAAGCTTTTTTGATGACCTGCTGTCTATGGCTGCTTTTGTACTACAAAGACAGAATAATTGCAACAGAGAACCAATGCCAAGAGTAGCAAAAAATAGCTACTCTTCAGATCTTGGAGAAAAAAATCCTGCTCTATATGAAAAAACTTATATAGACAAAATCCTGCTCTATATGAAAGAACTTCATATAGACAAGTAATATAATTTCCCTTAAAGTACAAAGCAGGGACTGAACACAGGACGCCAAGTGGGAGATAATGGAGGCAGAATTAAGTAGCACTAACACCTCCCTTGTTCTGAAAGCCATATTTCCAATTATGTGTCCAGAAATCAGGTTATTCTTTCACTGACACATAGTTCCCAAGTACATGAAAGATGAAATCTCTGAGAGATTTTTTCCAAGAGCTCCTGTTGGGTCGCCCCACCCCGCACTGGTGTAACCCAGTGTTAGAAAGTAGATGCAGAAATTTACACATCTCTAGCTCATTCAGAGAAATCAGAAACAATTCAGCATATATTCAAGGGCTACCTCAGTCAGGGTCAGATAGGAAAAAATTAGCATACTTAGCTAGGTTTTTTTTAAAAATGTAGTGAAGGGACTATTTATGTACCTTTGGGAAGGGTTGAGAGAACAAGGGAATTGGTCACCATCCCCTGAATGGAGAGGGAAGAATTTTGCTGAGGCCGGGTGACAGCTGGAGGTAGAAGAGAGGCACAGCCCAACTGGTGCTGTGCTGGAAGATGCACAGCCACTGCTAGAATGCTGTGAGGAAGGCAGGGAGGGAGGCGGCCTGCCTCCCATCCTCTGCCTACCGTGGGCGGAGCCCCACCCTGGGAGCTGAGAGATGGATGAACATGGTGAGCCTGGGCACGGCAGAAACCACCATCCCCTTATGCTGTCTGCCCTGAAGCCCTTACCCCTGCCCTTTGGTGTTTCAGACTCCCCCCACCAAAAAAAAATAGCCCTCATCCTGTCCCGTGCACCCTCTGCACCCTTCGCTAGCCTCTGCAAACCCCTTGAGGTTTGAGGTTTCCATCAAGGGTGCAAAGAGGAGTCTGGGTTTTATTTGGGTGGTAGCGGAACAGAGCAGGAGTTGTTCTGAACCGAACTAGGATATTATCGCAGAGAACTTTAAGTCCTGTAATACTTCCCAGAATCTAAAACACGTTCTAGAATATTGAGAGCTTTGAAGCTGAAAAATTCAGCATCACCGCATTCTACAGAGAAAAGTTGGTGGCTTCTGTGAAGCCTTCCCCAGATAAGTGTGTCACAGGCTCTGGATTCACCAGACTCCTCATTACCAAATGCCTCAGGGCTGGCTGTTCTGTGCTCAGACAGCCTGTGTCACATCACAGGCTTTGATGGCAAAGACGCCTGGGCTCTCAATTCATTATGCCAACAGCAGCAGTGTTGAGAAAGTGGTGTGGGTGTGGGAAGAGAGAGACTGGGGGTATAAGGCTGCTGGTGGTCTCCACAGCGCCCTGCCAGCTACTTCCTCCTCCTTCAGCTGAGTCAGCAGGAAGAATCCTGCACTGGCTTCCTTGGGGATTACAGATTGTGAAGACTTAGAAATGACTTGCATTAATTGTGGTACCCTTAGATGGGAAGAAGCTTTTTAGCTTGATCAGGTCTCATTTATTTATTTTTGGTGTTGATGAAATTGTCAAGGAGGGTCTTCTTCATCAAACCTTTTCCCAGGCCAATATTGTCAAGCATTTCCCCACACTCTCTTCTGGAATTTTTATTGTTTCATGTCTTGAATTTAAATCCTTTATCCAGAGAGAGTCAATTTTTGTCAATGGTGAGAGGTGTGGGTCCAATATTAGTCTTCTACTAAAGACTAAAGAACTGTGGCTAACCAGTTCTCCCAGCACCACTTATTAAATAGGGATTCTCCTCCCCAATGCATGGTTTTGTTCAATTTATCAAAGATCAGATGGTGATATATGTCTGGGTTCATCTCTAGGTTCTCTGTTCTATTTCATAGATCTAGGTCTCTATTTTTGTGCCAGTACCATGCTGTTTTGATCATTATAGACTTGTAGTAGAACCTGAAGTCTGTGAATGTGATGCCTCCAGATTTGTTTTTATTTCTAAAATTGTATTGGCTATTCAGGGAGTTTTTTCTGGTGTTCAGCACACCTGCTGGGGTGAGGGGGCTCAACTACAATTTGAAATTTATCTTAGAATTGAAAACAATATAACTTAAAAATGTATACCCTCATGTTAACTTGAAATTAAAAAAAAAAAGAAAAGAAATTATTTGCAAACATTATTTGGTCTGTTTCTCTGGTTAAATTATTTGCTTCTCATGGAATCTGTAGGACAAAATTGGACACTAACTTAGGAATTGCTATCCATATATCAAAACCTGTTTATATAGAAGCTGCAGATGTATTCAGGCCTAGTTTGTATTCTAGTCCTGAAATCTTTTTTGGTTTTTTGGTTTTTGGTTTTTGGTTTTTTGGGTTTTTTGCTAATTCAGATCCCTACTTGTAGCAGTTATCCACTTATATCTCACAGACCTAGAATCAGCCCCCAGAGTTTAAAAGTCATACAAAAGCTAGAGAGGACGGGAACAAGGTGGGAACCATGACTGTTGGGGACACAGCCCAAATTCTGGAAACCCACACCCCACCAAAAGTTATCAACACGGTACAAAGCCATGGATATGATCCAATGAGATAGAATCAATTTTGAGCTTCAAGTTAGAGTTGCAGTGGTCAAATTTCCAATGCAAATGTGGCTATGTTAGAATTTATTGATAAATTTTATAAGGTCTCCAGAACTAAATCCCAGCCAGGATAACTGGCAAAATTGGAGTAAGATCTATAGATTTGATAATAATACTGCATCAGCATTCATTTTCTGATTTTAATCATTGAATTGTGCTTATGTAAGAGAGTGTCCTTATTCTTAAGAAAACATATTGAAACATTTCAGGGTACAGAGGCAACATGACTATGGTTTATTCTCAAATGATCTGGAAACAATAATAATTGTCCTATACAGAGAAGAAAGGATGAGAAATTAAATGTGATAAAATACTAACAATTAGGATATCTGAGCGAAAGGTACATGAATTTTTCAAAACGATTTTTGTAACTTTCCTGTAAGATTGGATGTACTTGATGATAAAGTTGCCAGAACATTAATTCCAGAAAACTAGAGCTGTCTAATGCCAATCACTGAAGTGACAATGTTAAGCCATGCCTCAGAGTGAGCCAGCGTTGCATCTCCTGGTTTTGTCATCTTTGAGTTAAAATGAATCATTTCCTCTTTCAGCTACAGATCACGTCTCCTCTTCATAGAGGCGAACACTAAGGATGCTTTCCACGTGAGCCCTGAAGGTAAGGGGGACTTGTTCACAGGCCCCTCGGTCACCACCCATTGGCCCTACTGTCCTTTGCATCCAGGCACAGGCAGGGACTTGCTATCTTGCTTCACAGAGAATATTCTGTATTTTGCTGTGTATAATACCTACCTTTTGTCCCAATTTTTGAGGTAAGAATAAGGATGTACATTATACATGGATAGTATAGCTTGGGAGCGGGGGAGCCCAGTGGGCCACCCTTGACTGTCATGCCCTCCCATTGGGGCCTGCCAGACATGCAGGGTTCTAGATGGTAGCATGCCAGAGCAGCCTCCACTGAGCACTACCATCAGGGACAGGGGCAGTGGCAGGGCTAGCAAGGTGGGCTGCGCACATGTGACTTGAAAGCTGAGGCCCAAGACCAGCCATGCAGAGCAGACAGGGAGCCCCACCCAGGCCCCAGGGGCCCGCCTGGCTGCCTGCAGGCTGAGCAGCCTCCAAAGCCCCCTTCCCATATGGAGGGGAGAGCAGGTCCCCCAAAAGAGAGGAACAGGGCAGCCTTTGCAGAGTGGTGCCTGCAGCAGGGCAGTACAATCTGCATGATTACCAGGGGGCATTCACCCTCCAGATGTGTCTTTCCCAGCCAAGAGCCACCCATTTCCATGGGGGGGGCATTTTCCTGAAAGTGTGAACCAAAAACATGAGGGCGCATTATACACAGGAGCAAATTATATACGGTAATCCCAACCCAGTCCACGGCCATATTGGCGAGTGCTGCAGGCCTTCGAAATCTCCCCACCCTTTCCAGCTCAGAAAACCTGATGCTCTTTCCCTTCTCTGTTTTTCTCAAAGAAAATATCAAATCTTTTAACAGTGGCTATCTCCTAGTGCTGCAATTATGGGAGATTTTTATTTTCTTTTCATGGTTTTCTGTATTTGAGAGATCGCGGACAAAGACTGTGTTACTTTTATAAACAGAGGGAAAAATATTATCTTTGCTTTTAGTTTCCCAAGTAACGCTACACAAATTCTTGCCGTAGTTTTATGGGTCCCCCCCTTTAGCACCTTAATGCTGTCACTGCTGCATGTCTCCTGCCCAGCCTATGTGGCAAGATTTATGTCTGACATATTCCAGGTCTTCCCCAGCTACTAGGGACAAGGAAACCCAAGGATGCCAGGACTGGCTGACAGATAAGACATGAGCATTCTTACCCCACGTTACAGATGGACAAACTTGGCTTGCCTCTGTCCATACTGCAGTCAGATGGGATCCAAGCCCACTGAGATGACTTGGCGTGTGTAACCCTGAAGCTGAACTCTCTCTCTTTCAGAGGAAGTTAAGACCCTGTGAAGACAGGAAACTGACTAGGTTACTTGTGGAAGAAAATCCGAGGCAGAATTTCCCTGGGATTCCTTGGGGCCACCTCAGGGTATTTACTAGTCTTCCCACATTAAAAAAGGGATGTCCCTGTGAGAGTCCTCTGCCCCTTCAATGTCAAAAACTAATCACATTGCCACTGCTTGAGATTCCAAAGAAGACAAACTTCTTCCCTAGAAATGGCAATAAAATAATGTTTCCACATATTGCCCAATCCCTGTGGTAGGGGGCAAAATTGCCCCTATCAAGAACCACTGCCATGAGTTACCTCAGCCAAGCAGGAACTTCTGTTTTTCATGTACATGGACTGAAATTTATAGTGTTCAGAAGAAACATTAGCAAATATTTGCAGAAAAATACCATGAGTTGTCAACACCAGCATGTATCATAATAGCCCTGTGTGAGAGTATCTGGTGATCTCGAAACTGGTCAGTCAACCGATTCAGACTTTTCTGAGTTCCTTTCTCCTGTTTGGCTTCTGTCCTTTGAAGCCAAATGCCTCATGACATTTACTGGGAGGAAAAGCAAAGGAGAAGGCACAGGGTAAAGCAGAATGCAGTGAGCAGCCTCTCCTTCGGGAGGTGTGAGCGGTCCAGAGAGCACAGTGTGGTTGGAGCCGTGGCCCGGAGCTCGGGAGGGGATTTGGCTGCCATTTTGTATTTATTTACTGACCACCATCTTGTGTGAAAGATTGTAGACATAGTCTCCAATTTACTTTATAAAGTTTTGTATTTTTTCGACAAACAGGTACCCACCCCAAGTAGTGGCTTAACTAGAAACTCTTCTTTCATGCATCAAATAGCATAAGGCAAGTGATAGTGGTGATAGTAGATTTACCTGTGGAACCAGTTGGCGAACCGAGACCCCTGAGCAAATCCCAAAGCTCAAGGGTTGGGACACACTGTGCTTATCTCCAAGTGTACTCCAAGGGGCTTTTTTTCTTCTTAATGCTCTCCTTCCCCCAGCATCCACCCCCTACTATCCTTCACCGTTTGCCCACCCTGGTGTTTGGATTGCAAAAATGCTTCCGATGCCAATGGATACCTGCAAAAACACAGGCAGGAACTTGAGAGCAGTTACATGGTCATCCAAAGGAAACAAAAACAATGCTCAATTCAGGGTAAAAAAGAAAACCAGAAAGCAACGTTTGTAAAAGAATTCCAGAAAGGAAAAAAAAAAAAAAAACTTCCTAAAAGAAGGGATTAGAATTCAGGTGAATTGCAATTCCTCTCCAAGACTTGACCAAAAATGCCATGGTGCATTTGAGGGCCTTTAATCTGATTTCTAGGCTCTGACTTAACTGTTAGCTTTCCAATCCCATCCCTGTGGTAACAATCATTCCCTCCTGATCACTGTCTGGAGCTCCACCTCCACCCCAAATTACTGTCTGGAGCTCCACCCCGACCCCAGGGTGGAATAAAACATCTGTCTGCCTTCCTGTAGTGCCAGATTCTTTTGCAAGAGCTCTGGCATCCTTTGGGCTCTACCCATTCCATCCCTCCCACTGCCAGCTCTTTCCCAGGCTCCCAAACACGTGCTTCTGACCTTACCTGTCCCCAGATGGCAAGAGTCTGGGAGGAGCTTTGAAACAGCCCAGGGCACTGGGGAGGATGTGCCCACAGTAGCACATGTTCTGCCATGCATCTGAAGCTCTGTGCTCCGTCTTTACATCAACCACTTACTTATCTGCCAGAGTTCCCCAAATCCCTATCACTTGAGCCTCCAGTAGGAGTAAAGTATGACATTGCTCAAAACCTGTACACTTATCTAAGAGGGGTAAGACCTTAGTTTATGATAAGCAGTTTGTTTATGAGATTGACTTGCTGGTGCTTCTCTAAGAAAAGGGTCTTGGGATTCCAACATCAGATAGGTCGGTTTTGGTTGCAATGAAGAGATTGCAATGATCAGAATATTGAACTCTAGACTCGCACTATCTACTACCTAAGCCACTAGCTACCTGTGGCAATTCAAATAATACTAAAAATTCAGTTCCTCACTCACACTGGATATCTTTCAAATCTTCCCCAGCCTCATGTGACTTGTGGCTATCACTGGAAAGAGTAGCTCTCTAACATTTCCATCATCATAGGAAGTCCCATTGGACAGCACTCCTCAGGACTGAGGCTGGTACTTCCCAGGAGGAGTTTTAGAAAGGAGAGGCAGCTTAAAATCACCAGCTCTGTCGGAGGGATGGAGAAGAGTAGGAGAAGAAAAAAAAATGCAAAGAGAAGGGGAGCCAAAAACAAACTTTGTTGCCAAGGGCCAGCCCTGCACATGCACACATCTGCCCTACCACAAGGTTCTTTCTGTGGATACCTGGAAATGAAGGAGCCACTGATGTTGGCTTTAGGGCCCATTTTCTTCATTATATGGCCTCTGAGTTCTATGGGCTGCTTGCAAAGCAAGAGATTGTCCCAAATCCTAAGACAAAAGGGACTCAGAGCATCACTCACATATAGGAGCCACAGGGTTCCTAGCCAAAGGTAAATCACCACTGCGGTGGCACCAGGCAGCCAGGGAGTATCCAGGAGTCCATGTAGAGCTAGGAGTTTCCAAATCAAAAGAAATGGAAGTTTCCAGGGAGCAATCGTCACGCCTCTCCCCGACGGTGGCTCCCACTTACATAGCACTTGCAGCCATGTGGCACACTTCCACAATAATCACTCATCTCATCCTCACAACAGCTGGTTGTGGAAAATAGGGAAGACATGACACTCTTGACACTTTATTTTAGAAGAAAATCATGCCCAGGATGTGGAGAAGGGACACCAAAGGCAGTGTGGCTGGTAAATGGCAGAATTTGCCCTAGAAGCCACCCACTATTCTGTCCACAGCTGGAATCACCTCTGCCTGGTAACCTGGGAGTTACTTGGTACCTGTCCAAGTCCATAAGTATGCCAGCTCCCAAGCATGTGACCTTCCCACAGATGATGCTACAAACTCAGCTCCCCAACAACTGAGCCCCTAACGATCTGAAGGACTCTTCCTTATACAGTGACTCATGAGAACTGCCAAGCCAGAGGGCAAAGTGGACTCATGGCTAGAAACCTGATATAACCGTTCCCAGCAGACCCCTCCTCAAGAAATGCTGACGTCCTGATAATGGCAAAGGAGAAATAGTGCTCATGGTGCCATAAGCACCAGATCTACTTAGTGTGTTTTCCTCTGCAAAAGACATGGAATATCTTGCCATCCTGGCTCCCAAAACACTCAGTCTGCAGAAGGAGACCCTTAAACATGCCAGTGAATTTTGCTTTCAAGAAAAGGATTCAGAAAATGAGATCACAGCAGTCCATTTGTAGGACTTTCAGTAGTTTGTGGCCAGATACATATGATTTATTCTCAAATTTGAAAGAACCCCTTCCTCACAATGTATAG